TGCTCCTGCGCCTGCGCCTGCTCCTCGCGCCTGCTCCTGCTCCTGTTCCTGCTCCTGCTCCTGCTCCTGCTCCTGCTCCTGCTCCTGCTCCTGCTCCTGCTCCTGCTCTTCTTCCCTCCTTTCCCAACGTCGGCGTCATCGACTCGTCCTCCTCACGACCAACATCTCGATGACCTTCACTCACCAATCTTCCCGCGCGGAGGGAGGGAGGAGGAGCAGAGCGGATCGGGCCCTCGGAGCTCATGGGGTCTGTCTTGTACATCTGGCAGCGACCTCTCAGCCCCTCTCCTCCCCCGTAAGCTGAGAGACAACAAAACCTCTAACATGCTCTCCTTCCCTTCGTCATCCAGATCCGACGGAGTCTCTCCCACCAGCCTGCCCGCAGGTCAACGGAGACGTCAGGAGACGACAGGCTGCTTACCCATACTGCTTCCCGCTGGTCTTGAGGAACCTTCCATGGCGAGGAAAGGACGTCATCTCCACAGCAACAACCTCCCTCACCCTCCAAACCTGCATGCCCGCTCCCATTCTCCGACCTCCTGCAGAGAGAGAAAGAGGGAGGGAGGGAGGGAGGGAGGGAGGGAAGGAGGGAGGGAGAGGGAGGAGGGAGGGAGAGAAACTCAGTTAAACTCATCGTACACGACATCACGTCAGTCAGCTCCTCGACCATCCAACCAACCATCCCCCCTAATTCCCATGAGCCTTCAACGTGAGATTCACGTTCAATGGTTCACTTGTACTCATTTCTACTTCTTTTCTTCATCCCGTTCCATCTATCATCCCCCATCCCCCACCAAACTCTCTCCCTCTCTCCCATAGCTCATCTCCCCCTCCCTTTCTCGCATGCTCTCTCCTCCCTCCCCTCCTCCTCCTCCCCCACCTCTTGATTCTTCTGCTCGTCGCCGATATCTATATCCAAGAAAGCCGCCATGCAAGCCGATCCCTCCGTTACAATTGACGGATCACTGTAACGGTCAATCACTCGGGCCTGGGCGGGCCATGGGTTTCCCCGTCGCACTGTCAGTCACCTGCTAAGCCCCGGGCCCGGTGCCGTTACTGGCCGTTTTCTAGCCTCTTCGGTTCATCACCCTACCCTACACCATCACTTGGACATGTGGGATATTGACCGGTCCTTTCGAGGGTTCCAAACAAAAGCCTCCTCGCCTTTATACCTGCTGGCTTTACTGCACCCACCTACTACCCCTCAATTTCCACCTTACTACCTACCCACCATCCTCCCTCCCTCTGTTATTTGATAGGAAGAGGACCCCTAGCACCCCTGCCCGGTGTATTTTCTCAGGCAAAATGACCGCCCCCTTATCTTGTTCTCATGAACACCACCCCACCCACCTCGAAATCTCTCAGAGTCCACCACCCGTCAGAATGCCAACAAAACCTTATACGTATCCGACAATTACACTGACCCCCACCCCCTCCTTATCGTTTTATCGATTTGATCTACCACCCCCCTTTGAATACTTCAACCACCCGGTGGTTTCCCACCAATATCTCCCGCCATTCAACATAAATCATTTCAATCGATTTATGCAGAACCCCCACCCTCTCCCTGTCCTTCAACATCCCCCTAAACTACCAGAGAGGTACCCCACCCCCCTAGGTTAACCAATGTATGCTCCCTTCACGACCTGCTGTTCGTTTGGAGGGACCGGACGTCGCTACTACCCCTACCCCCCTACCTCACTACACCTGTTGTTCTCCTACCCCCAAGTTGACTTCAGAACCACCTACCCTGCAACACTAGAGCCTCAAGAAATCAGGCCCTTCGGCGTGTGTGGCCGTAGAGTTGTCTGAGTACCGGTTGTTTCTCCTGTCTCATGAGGGGTGTAGGGAGTGTCTCCTAGTCTCCTACAACAGTGGGGACGCATTGAGCACAGCAATATCAGGGGTGGATTCCGTGTTCGTTTTTGAGGGTGGGGGTACTTGGGGGATAGGGGTAGTCGGGGCAAAGGGGTCATGAGGAAGGCTTGTCTGCTTTAATACACCCCTTATGAAGATGGGGTAGGGGTTATAATAGAGTGGTGCTTTTGTATGGGGGGGGTAGGGTCTTTTGGTTTCCAATGTGATACCTGTAGTAATGATCACGAGGGACATGAGGAAGGGGGTGGGGACCTGAACAACCTTATGGGGTGGGTGGTAGCGATAAGGGACAACACCCCCAGATAGTAATGTTGATTCAAGGGTACTGATGAGGTAAAGCGATGGGGGTGGGGTAGTCGTTTCACGGTCATCGTGACGAATCGTTGCATTACAACTTTGAATTAAGTTGGCTGGTCTGATTGCATTTGGTGTGAACGCTCGAAAATCTTGAGCCAGTTTATGTAAACATTTTGTGAAGTTTAAATAATTTGATAATTTGGAGGACTCCATTGAAATATTGCTGCCAACTGGATTTGGAAGGACAGACTTAAGCGCCGCTTCCATGCTCGTAATTCACAATAGTGCAGGAGGAGCAGCAGGAGGAGCAGAAGGAGTGGTCGAGGCGTTCTCATCTTGTGCCTCCATCTGTAGAAGATGCAGAGACCTAGATTCCTTAACCTGCTTGTTCCAAATCAGCTCCAGGAGCTTCCTCATCCTCCTCCTTCAGCACTCGTGGAGACACTAGCCTTTGTGCAGTGCGCCTCTTCCTATTCTTGTAGGAATCGTCCACATGGCGTGCCCCATCTCCTCCTTCTGATGTGTTGTTCATGCTCTGATATACTCTCCTCTGAGTGTGAAAATTGCCCCAACAGGGAAGAATCTGTTCAGGGCAAGGGTTGAGCTTGAGAGCCCGTCAACACCTACTGCGTTGCTCGCCCCGCGTAGTGTATCCCATCAAGTAGCTTGACTCGGGCTGTGTTAGTGTGTAGACGGGGAGGGGAGGATACGATTCGAGAAGCTTCTAGTCATCGCTGCGAGCGAGTCATCATCTCCTTACGGTCTCCACTGATAGCATTTCGACCGCAGGAGGACTTGAACACGCTCATGTCAGCCTGATCAGCGGGTTCTCAAGGAGGACCATGGCGAACGACGATGGCGCTCTCTCGTTCTTGATGCAGCCTGGGGTGGATGTCCTGCACGAGGGGGCAGGGCTGTGGGAGGGAAGCGCTGTAGACGAGAACGCCTCTCCCTGCCTCTCCGCCCTATTCCCTGAGTTAGCCCATTCGTGGGCGTCCTCCGACAACGTCCTGGACAGCAAGAGCCCCGTCCAGCTCCAGCCCGCCCCGAGCGTCCTCTCGTTCCATCACAGCATCGAGACAGCACAGCAACCGCAAATGTGCGTGCATCCGATTCAGCAGAGGAGTATCTTCAACTCTGACCTTGGGGTGAGACATTCGCGTGCCTGTGAAGTATGCTCCTGACTTTTTCTCCTCCTTCCCTCCTCCTCCTTCTCCTCTTCTCCACCCTTCCTCTGCTTCTCCTCTGCTCTTCCTTGCAGCAACTGCAGCAGCAGCAGACCATCAAGCGTCCCCGTGAGGACAAGGAGCCCGAGAGTTCCTCCTCCTCCAAGCGCAGCCGGTTTGCTTGCTCAGCATGGCATGCTCTCCAGCTGACGCGATCGAGCAGGTCGGAGAAGCACTACAAGGAGATTCGCCTGCTGTGCGAGGCAGCGTCCAAGTACGTGGGAGGAAGCAAGGTGAAAGGAAGAGCGGGCTAAGTCAGCTCCTTATGCTCCTGCTGCTGCAGTTCGTGGAGAAATCGATCCAGCTGTATGACAAGTATCGGGAGTCAGGCAAGGCAGCAGGCCGCCCGTCGAGGTGAGGAGGAGGGAGAGGAAGACAAGGCAAGGGGACTCGGGTCAGGATACGGGGCAAGAAGGATGGAGGGCAAGGGACAGTGATAGATGTGTGGGAGGAGTCGTAAATCTTTGATGATGGGAAGTAGAAAACGAGGAGTGAGGGAAGCAGAGGAGAGCTGAACGTCATGCAGGCCGATGTACGCGGCTGTCGTGCTGGCAATGAGCTGCGATGATGGAGACGAGGGGGATGAGGCAGAATGCAAATCCCGCCTCGCTCACATCGAGTCTGCTGCCGTTCAAGTCTGGGGCAAGGTAGATTCCTCCTCCTGCTCCTCCTCCTCCTCCTCCTCCTCCTCCTCCTCCTCCTGCTCCTCCTCCTGCTCCTCTTCCTTCTGCTCCTGCTCCTCTTCCTTCTTGCTGCTGCTGCTGCTCCTGCTCCTGCTCCTGCTCCTGCTCCTGCTCCTCAATTCTGGTACTACTCACTACTCCTGCTCTTCACCTCACCGCGCCTCTACCTTACTCCTCCCGCCCCCTTCTCTCCTCTTCCTCCTCCTGCTGACCCCACTTCTTCGCAGGAGGCTCCGGATCGTCGCAAGATCTGGGATGGATTTCTGGCGCTGCAGCGCATTGTTCCCATCCGGCAGGTGGAGGCCGGACCCCAGCACCTCGCCAGCTCCGTCCTGTCGAAGCTCTTCCGGAGGATTCAGTTCTCGACTTCCCCAGCTCAGGACCAGCTGACGAGGAACCTTCTCTTCGAGCTGGCCACCAGCTTGGAACAAGGTCCGCTGGCGGGGAAGGCGCCCAAGACGATCGCGGCCTGCACGATGCACCTCTACTGCAGGTAGGGGGAAGCTGGGGGAAGGAGACGGTTCCTGTCAAGATAGGAGGAGGAAGGTGGTGGGAGAAGGGCAAGGAGGAGGAGGAGCAGGAGCAGGAGCAGGAGGAAGAGGAGGAGCTTACTGTTGTTGTGATCAGGCATGTTGGAGCGGGACTTGCTATTGCCAAGAACATTGCGACCTCATTGCAGGTTGTTGTCAGGAGGAGGAGGAGTGTGCTGGAAGGAGCGGGGGCGGGGGGGAGGGAAGGACAGGGGAAACGCAGGAGGGGAAGAGTCAGCGGGGGGAAGGGGCGAGGGGCGATGCTGACCTTGTGGGCAGGTTGGAGAGAGCACAGTCAGGACGAACCTGCGGGGGATCCACACGGGAGAGGGAGGAGGGGAGGGGTCGCTCTTCCTCAAGGCTCAGACCATCCTGGACCAGTGCCCTCCTCCCCTCAACTTCCAGGTGAACCTCAACGGTACCATGCTGCATGCCAACACGCTGGCGCCGCTGGGAGGGGAGCGGAAGGAGGCGACGATTGGAGTGAAGGAGGAGCTGGTGTATGGAGGAGGGAGGCTGGAAGGGCCTGTGATCAGTATGATGAAGCCGCTGCCGTAGGAGGAGGGAGGGAGCGGGCAAGGACGGAGATTGTTCGATGCTGGCAGCTCGAGTCAGCCGCTGACGGCAGCTGAACTCGTGAGGAGGAGGAACGTGCCTGCAGCCAGCATGTTGTGAAGAGGATGGAGATGTAATGAAAAACTTGAACCGACATGGACGAAGGGCTGGGAGGGACGGAGGGGCGGAGGGAGGGGAGAGAAGAAGAGGAAGTGAAGATAACGAGAGAGATCAGAGAGACAGTAGTCAGGATAAGGATGCGTTTTATACGAGAATGAATTACGAGGAGGAGGAGGAGAAGGAGGATCAGGACAAAATTCATATACAGTGTGTATTTTAAGAGTTGATAGGCCGATACGAGTCCTTCTTGCCTCCTGCCTCCTGCCTCCTGCCTGCTCCTGCTCCTGCTCCTGCTCCTGCTCCTGCTCCTGCTCCTGCTCCTGCTCCTGCTCCTGCTCCTGCTCCTGCTCCTGCTCCTGCTCCTGCTCCTGCTCCTGCTCCTGCTCCTGCTCCTCTCTATCGGAATGGTGAAGACACTTTGATCTGCGAAGAGATGGACATATACCGCTGCCGAATCGTCAGCTCTTACCTTCTCCCCTTCCCCTTCCCCTTCCCCTCCTTCCTTCTTGCTCCAACGTCCCCGCTACCTTCACCTCCCTCCCCGCTGCCCATCCATGTTTCCCACTCCTCTGCTCTTCCTCCACTCACTCTTCTCTTGGATCCCTCCGCCATGAACACCGCCTGCTCGTATCGTCAAAGAGCTTCCTCCTCGTCCTTGTCCCGGATGCACCACCACCACTTCCTCCTCCTCCTCCTCTCCTGTTCATCCTTCCTTCTCTTCTCCCCTCCTCCTCCTTCTCCTCTCTCTTCCTCTTCCTCCTCCTTCTGACCTGTTGGATAACGTCTCGCTGTATTCCCCAGCAGTATCGATCGAGGGGCAGGACCTGAGCTTGTTGTCGGAGGAGCGAAGAGAGAGGAGAGGGAAGTGCAAGGAGGGGGAGAATCGAAGGGAAGAAGAGGATAAGAGGAAGAGAGGAATGAAATGGAGAGCAGATGAAGCTGAGGAGACGGCAGTGAAAGGGGGGGGCAGGGGGCAGGGGGCGGGGGAGGAGGAGGACGATGAAGAAGAAGACAGGTAGTGTAGAGCTGGCGGCATGAAGATGTCGCTGAGGAGTCGTCCGGTGTCGGCGGCGATGATGACGTGTATCCGAAAGAGGAGGTGATGCAGGGGAGAGGCGGTGTGTCCTCTTGGCATCGCTGCCCGGGA